CAAGTAGGCCTGCAGAGCGAGAGCGAAGTGCTCTAATAGGGTGATATGGTACTACAAGGTCATTAAGATAAGATGGGGCCTGATTATTTAAGACCTTGATCTTGAGCTCTAACCATCACCTTTGTATGAGGTGTTGTTATTGCTGTTGTGTGTTCTCTAATTGTGGTGCTGTGCATTATCATCAGTCGTCTCCAATTCGGTCTCATCTCTTTAAAGGACGTTGTTCCAGAGGTCTTGTGGTTTGTCCGTACTGCCATGTTTTTTTCAAACGAGTCATACTTGTGCAGTCTTTTCTAATTGTGCTTTCATGAACTTTGACCTTTAACGTGCTAACTGAGGCCTGTGAAGTCTGAGATGCAGTTCTTGGGTTTTTTTGCACGGTCAGATCTTTGGGTGCCAAAACGACAGCTTTTATAGAGGTTCTCACATTTACTGGTGATTAATTAATAAAGAGCATTTGATAGCAGCACCTGGCTGCTGCTCCCCTTTTAATTGCAGTAAGGCTGTTCTTTGTGCAGGCCTTTGTAAAAACCCCGTCCTGTTTATGTTTCACGGGTCTGCGTCTTTGTTCTTACCAGAACGAGCCATTCACCATGACATATGTGGTACATATGCTATTAAAATGTAATGGGTATGTTCCATTTTGACACTGTATTGACCACATGATTAATTGTTTCATTTTCTTATAACGATAATAACCAGCACACTCTAATAGAGTATGGGCTAAATTAGCCTCGGATTACTCTTTTAGGGCTCCAGACTCTAATGTTGCATTCTGACTGTTGTGAGTCAGCTGACAGCTTTAATTACAACGAGATGAATGGTTGTTTATTAGGCTGCCACTTCCTCGTGTTTTCAACTTCTGTCACTGCTCAATTTAACTGTTTGATGGGCACCCTCAGCCATAAAAGAAGCAGCGCAGCCCTTAAAGCCGTAAATCTGTCAACTTTTATTTCTTTTTAATCGACTGTACGCTCTAATTTCCTTGGCAGTAATGAATTAGCCGAGGGGTCCGGTTGGACGGTCGAAACCCCTTCTAAGAATTCAAGAGGATGATGGATGTGTGGGGCACCGTGTTGATGTGTCTGCTGGTGAAAGCTCTCGATCTTGGCTGCATGGCGAGAGGAGGACAGATGGTTGAAGAACTTGTAAAGAGTAAAGGCTGATGAGGAAAATTCCCTTCATGGAGCGATTAGTTTTTTTAATTAACGCTATTAATATATTTCATTGAACCAGTAAGACGTGCCTATGCTGTGCAGGCCGCTGTCCCAGAAAAGGGATGGAGGGATGTAATGAGCAGAGGTGTAGATGAGAGTACATTTTAATAGAGATGGCAAAGTTTCACACTTGTGGTCCGTCGCTCATATTTCATGATGAAACGTTGAGACGGACGCTAAAAATGACAAATGCGTCTCCTCGTCACTTATTGATCTCGTGTTACTTTGTTTTTATTCACGTAGAGAAACCATAATTACCAAATTATAAGCTTTAATGGGGAGTGGTACGTACACACAGGAGTGACCCACACCAGGCTGTGATGGCTCTGTCCCCGTGTCTGCCGCCTGCCTGCTAATCCCTGATGGTGGAGTTGCCATCTGCACTCAGTTTGGATCCAAGTTGTCCTTAAACACCTCACCGAGCCTGGAAACCAACCGTCCATCAACGCACTACCCTTCTATGTTTCAGAAACTCTGAGAAAGACTCCTGTCCTCAAACTCAAACATAAATATCCCATCATGTAGACTGTATATTTATGGTAGTTTTGAGTATCCTTAGTTCTAGGTAGTTTCCACAGTGCGTGGATGTCATACTGGGAAAGAATGAGATTGCTGATACAAGAGGTGGAACTGAGCTTCCTCTGAAGGATGTCTCATTTTAGCGAGAGGGTGAGGAGCTCGGTCCTTTAGGAGCAGCTCAGAGTTTCGAGGAGCCAGTTGACCATGATGCCTGCTGGGTTCTTCCTAGGTGAGGTATTCTTGCTGGGGGAGGCCCCGGTGCAGACCCAGGAGATACGATCTCTTGGTTGACATTGAATGCCTTAGTGCAGGTGTGTCCAACTCCAGCCCTCAAGGGCCGATGTCCTGCACGTTTTAGACGTGCCCTAGATCCAACGCAGCTGATTTAAATGGCTAAATGACCTCCTCAGCATGTGTTGAAGTTCTCCAGAGGCCGGGTAAGATGAGATCTTAAACCTGCAGGACAACGGTCTTTGAGGCCTGGAGTTTCCCACACTCGCCTTAGTGTCTCCTGGTAGAGCTGGAGAAGTTGGGCAGGGAGGGGGAGGTCTTGACACTCTGTTTAAACCACTGCCCCCTGATTCAAACTTGGACCTGGACGGATGTCTTGTAGTGAGGCTCTGGACCCAGATTGAAGGATCAAATTTGAATTAATCCTCATTTTATTCTGAGCATTTGTCTGAGACTACAAGACAAGACCAAGATATGGTCCTTTTATTGGGTTGACCAAACCATTTGTCAGAATTTGGTCATGACTAACGTCCGTAGCTTTTCTGAGTACAATACATCCCTGACTCATTAATATGTTTATGTCTTTGTTTTTGTCTTTCAGTTGGTGTCAATATGTTCTACATCTGCATCATAGTCTATCTTTATGGAGACCTGGCCATCTACGCAGCAGCTGTGCCGATATCGCTGATGGAAGTTGCCTGGTAGGATTATTTTTGGATTTATTTCGAAATAACGAGATTATATTAGAAGTAGACCTACTCTGCTTGTCCTTAGCCATGTTTAATATAGAGACTAAAGTTTCAGACCATAGAGGTCAGTGTATGTACAGGTAATCTCTTCTCACTTTGGTGATTTCATTCCGGTCAGACTCATAAATACTCAGGAGCTTCTACTCGCTGGACTTCATAGAGCCAGTTCATAGGAGGGGCTTGTGAAGTTGTACAGAATTAATTAACATTAAGCAACAAGGGCTCTCTCTGCTGCAAGCCCCGTTTTGCTTTGAGACATGAAGTGAGGCACTCCAAAGCAAAATGGGGCTTGCCTCCTGTTTTTGTGAACACGTGGAAATTTCTGTTGTGGTTTAACTTCACTTCTAATTTGTTCCTATTGTTTGGAAACAGGTGCTGCTGTAGAATCTTATCGGGACTATTAATAAGTATTAGTCTCAGTTCTTTTATGGGTATTGACTTTGTACCAAAAATGAAAGGGCATAAGTACTCAGTTTAATATTGTATTATTGAAACTGTATTCATTTATTTACTCAAATTAATTTGGACATTAGTGTAGGAGCCAGTGTAATAAATATTTAGCTATTTTGCTGAAATTATGCCTTAAACATTAGCTTGCAAAAGCCGTCTGTTCCACCTCGGCTGTTCTGAGTGCAGAAACCCCGCCCACCTGGCATTCAGAACATTTCTTTGAGGGGCAGCCAATCACAAAGTTGGCTAATAGGGAGTGCAGCCTTAAAGGGGGTGGGGCTAAAGTGGCAAAGCTGCTCCAACGCAGCTGATTTAAATGGCTAAATGACCTCCTCAGGATGTGTTGAAGGTCTCCAGAGGCCGGGTAATGAACTAATTATTTGATTCAGGTGTGTTGACCCATGGTGAGATCTTAAACCTGCAGGACAACAGTCTTTGAGGCCTGGAGTTTCCCCACTCTTGCCTTAGTGTCTCCTGGTAGAGCTGGAGAAGTTGGGCAGGGAGGGGGAGGTCTTGACACTCTGTTTAAACCACTGCCCCCTGATTCAAACTTGGA